GTGGCAAGTTTCGAGTTCAACATTGTGACTTTTTAGCCACGGAGGATGGTGGTTGTGGGTGCAAGTGCCTCTTGATTTCATTACGACGTTCATTTGTGCTCATGTTTTACATTGATTTTTATTATGGCCACCGGTATTAATATTCCGCTAAATTTCGTTTATTTTCCGTTGTTTGCTTATGACGGTTTTTTGTCGCATTACTGCTGCTATTTGCAAAAAAGTATCTGATGGATGCAGCGATGCAAATCCATTCAAACATCAAAGGGACAAATCAAAAAGCAATTTGATGTTTGACTTTTACACATGTTATTCGGATATAAAATCTTTAATTGGTTTTGAGGGTATTCATAAAAAATTCATTTATTTCACATTGCAATATTGCAATGTACTTTAAAATTCTGAACCTTCTGCACGTTTTAAAGCTTCTGCGCCTTGGGGTAGACTTCGTTTTTTCTGCTAATTAAATACATTATGAGTTGGCGAAGCGGAAATGCCAGACAGACAGATTTGTAACTGCGGGTGCGTGTGTGTGTGCTCATGTGAATTACTCACACATACAAAACGGAGAGCCATAAATAGAATCCGATTCCAGAACATAAGCTTGAAGCAATAATCCAAACAACCGAATAAAATGCCATACCCCCACCAACTTTCGCCCTTTCTCCGCTTTCTGCGCTCTCGTTCTCTGGAGACGTGAATTTGACTTTGCCCAGCAACAAAGTCATCAAAACAATGATTGCAATACATATTTGGGGCAACACAATTTTGCCGCCATTCTAGCTGAAGGATTAAGATGGGACGAGGACTCGGGAGGAATGGCTGAATAGAGCAGCGAACTCCCGTCCCGTCCAATGCCACAAAATACAAACCCGAAACGTGGGAGACAAACACGCATTTCGGTTCATTAACCAAACCCAACAAAAGAAGAGCAGCCACGGTGGCTAGATGGCTAGATGGTGGCCAAGGAGAGGGATAGCTAGTCGGGGGAGTGAAAGAGACGGGAGTGGGAAAAGCGGAAAAGGACTGGGGAGAAACACTAGTAGCTAACGGAAACAAAATTACCAGCGAGCAAATAAAATGTCGTCGAGGGTTTGACGCAGCTTCAACTTCTGTGATAATCTGAAAAGGGGCGATGGAAGGCGGGGAGCGGGTTGAAAATGTGGGCCAAAAGGGGAGCAAGGACCTCCCCGAAGGATAAGCTCGGGTCCGGGCTTATTGTGTGCAGCCAGCGCAATGCCATGCAACGTTTCTTTTTTATTAGTTCCGCGCTTATCCACCATTTTGGCAGTCGTTATTTGGTTGATTACGGGGCAAGGACAGCATTGCATCTCTCCTGGAGATGTGGCACATGTATATATATAACCTGAGCAGTACATGTCTAGGACGGTGATGGGTTGTAACCTCTTTTACCGCACTCAGCCACAGTTACGGGCATTTTTACACCGTTCGCACAACAAAGTTTTGCTTTGCGGGGAACAGCAGGTGTGGCAGTCACAGATTGCCAACTAAACGAGACCAAGCACCACTGAAAAAAATGCCTGGCATAAGCAGATATTTTACTTCAGATGTATAATATATTTAGGCATACAAATTAAGCTTATTTATTTCAAAACTATACTTAGTTTTCAGTGCTCATTAATGATTGAAATGTAAAGATTCTCGCTTACAATATATTTATAAGGGGATAGGTACATAGTTTTCATCGCATCTAAAAACTAGTTTGATTTATTTTCTTTATGATTTATACAAGGCATTTGCTAAATAGTCCATAAAATGTTGTGCCTAAATTAAAATTTTCTAAGGTAGATAATTCAAAAAACAACTCAACTCAACAATTTAACTGATCGCGATGAAAGATAGTTCAGATAGTACTTCAAATACAATAAATTAGTATTTACAATTTTTTTTTAAATAGTTTGTACATTTTTTTTTTAAATTTCACTATAAAAAATTTAACTTTCTTTAAATTTCAGTCAGTTTGTAAATTCTTTTTCCTTATATTACTTTGTTGAATTACGTGCTAAAACTTTAACCCCTGGGCTAAAAAGACTTTGGTTTTTTAATTCTGTTGATCTTTCTATATCCTTACTATCCTTGCAACTTTTAAAAAAAATACGAGCTCGGCATGATACAAAACTTTTTGTTCGCAAATAATACCCATGTAACCCCTTAAAAATATGTTTACAAATTTTGATAAAATCATTCAATCAAATAAATTATTTATATCAATAGAGACAATGACAACTAAAGCCTTTCAAATTTGAATCATAATGATAAATATTATAAATAAAAAAGGAATGCATGGAAAAAACCTTCTACAATGAAATCATATAATTTTAATTGATATTATTTTACATACATACATACATGCTTTTTATTACAATAATCAGCTAACTATAAATGCATTTCAATGAATGAATATTAAATTAGTTTAAAATGATTTAAATTATGAAAAGAATGAGCTGATTTCATTTGTATGAAATTTAGTTTTTGCTCTAAATGTGTATTAAAATAATCATTTCTTACAGTGACCTTTACTGCCCTGCACAATGCGTACCCTTTGTATCTGTATCTCTATCTGTGAACCTATCACCATTTGTATCTCTGGGTTCAACTCCGGGTCATTAGTGCGATGGCGTTGCGTGGTTTTTCTCTAGGTCCGGTTTGCTCCGCTGGTTTCTTGTTCATTTTCTCATTAGTGAGTCAATACACGTAGCACGTTTTGTCCCCACATTGTTACTGCGGACACTTACCATTTCCACTTCCCCCCAACGGGTGCGGCTGGGGGGTCGTTTGGGGGCAAAAATCATCATCATCACACATGGCGTTGTATGCTCTTGCCCTCGGAGAGTTGTTTAAGATGCGTTGCTTGCACTTCGCACTCTGCTGCAACTGCAACTATTGCAGCTGTCTATCCCTCTTGGCCTCATGTCCTTATCCCTTTTTTCCCAGAGCATCCGACCTTTTGAAAGGACCCACTGACTGAGTGACTGGCTGACAGCCCGTGCCTTCCCCACTGATATAGCGAGGAGGGCCATCCTGTGAGCATGATCCGAAAATGTAAAGTGTAAACTTTTTGCCAGTTGTTTGCTGAACTGGCATTGCACTTTGTCTTCTTGCTTGGCTGGCCATCAGCCATCAAGTGTGGCAACTCATGCCCCCGGGAAGGTCGGGAGGTGGGAAATAACCCACCATATCCTGTGAAAGAATAGGAAAAAATCCTTAGCCAGTAAACCGCAAATCCGCATGGATTCTGTAGAGGATGGAGCTGAAATTTAAATAAAACACAGTCATCGCATAGAGTTCTTCTTAGTAGTCGCATTTTAATCTCCTTGCATAGTTGTATATGGTAGTTACAATATAGTACACTCAATATATAAATCTAAGAGACTGCCACATTCAGTTAACAGCTTGCGGCTTAGCCTAATATGCGTGGCAATCAAATGGGTTTGTAGCCCGCGATGCTGCCATTCGAATGATACTATGTACTACTTATAAATATATTCCATTTTCCAATCTTGGCTTGGAGTGGGATTTGGGTCCTTAGAGTATAGTTATGGCTAGACATGCATACACATCAATACACACACAGAACGAGGACTCTATGAGCTATTTACGTCGGCTATGTGCTACACATATTCAATATTAATATTTGCCATTTTTTAGTTTACTGATTCTTTTGTTTTCCGCTCTGTCTTCGGTGCCATTTGTTTCTTTTTTCTTTCCATCGTTTTCCACTCGGATTTCGCTATTTTTTTGTATTTTGCAAACAATGAGCAACATTTTTCTATTCTATTGAGGTCCTTTTTGCGATGATTTGTTCCTGCCCATCCACTAAAAGGACACTGCGCCATTGTTGTTGGTTCTCCTCTAATTTTTTCCAGTACCCCCTCCGGACGTGTCATTTATAATGACGCTTTGTGGGCGGGAAAATCAATCCTAATTGCACAAATTAATTATTGCGAAATCGGAATCGGATAAGCGCTCACCCATCAAAAGCACACACATATGAATTTGTAAGGAGCGTGGGATGTGGGAACCCTTTGATGGATTAAGTCATTAAGCCGCTTCTGCTCTTAGTCTATATCTTTTGGAGGTCTGAAGCACATTTAACATCCACTTGCTAGATATTGTTATACTGAAATAGTGGGAAGGACCGCCTGAAAGATGGAGCTTATTAATTCCAAGTGCTTCCCTCAGATGTTTGTACTTGAATCTTCTACACAACTGCACTGCTGGGAACTGGTTTGAAGCCTGTTTTCTGATTGTTCGAGTCCTTACTGAGGCTATATTTGTTTGGTATAAATTCATGTTGCACCCGTAGTTAATTTCCATATTAATTAGTCGTGAAGCGGACACAAATAGGAAGGATCTAATAGTTGAGCGTTTAAGCTTTATATACAGTAGAGTTTTTGGATTTGAGAGATAGTCAGGTACATGGACAGGTTGAAGACGTAGCTTTTGTAAATCGCTAGACGCTTGAAACATTTACAGAACCGAATAGGCTGAGGACTAACATCTAAATAATGGAAGATCTAAGATATGACAGCTAACAGTAATCACTAATGCCCACTATGCAACCGCCATCTCGATTTACTGAAATCCCATGATCCGAGTGAGCGATATAGAAGGGATGGCTTGTTGCATAGTGTTCTATCACCGATCGATAAGCTAATGAGTAACTAGGCGAAAGCTAAATATCTATACTCGTATATACACCTTTAATCCGATTAATGGGAAACAAAAAACTTCTATACAGGAAACTATCTGAATTCTTATCTTTAAATGGCAAAAAACATATAGAAGTTCATGATCATTATTTAAACAAAACATTTACATTTATTGGATAACCATGAGCCTCATGAAAAATTGTCCAAAACTTATTATATCCTTTTGTCTTAAATGTAACTTACAATCGCCGATTTATGACAGGACTTCTCCCATTAGTAGAATCCTCAAAAAACCTTGTTTGACTCGATTTCTAATGCTAATGATTTGCGTTTTTGGTTTGGAGGCTGACCTTACTTCACCGAGGAGCTGGAGGAACTGGTGACCTCCATTGGCTGGCTCTCCAACTGTGGCTGGGTCTCCACCAGGGCCGGACCGATGCTATCGCTTCCACTGTCAGTGTCCTCGTCGTCGTCCTCCACATCTCCCAGCGTGGTGATCTGACTCTGGACGCTCTGGCACTGTTCGAGGATCCGGTGGTGGTGGTTGCGATTCATCGGCTCCTCGACGGCGTCGATGAGCGAGGGCGCCGAAGTAGTGTCTGGACCCGGGCCACCTATCGCAGTGGGTGAGCCCAGTGATGAGTTGGAGCTGCGCAGACGTTTCATACCCGCCATAGGCATGAAGGACACGTGGTGACCGGATGAGTTGGAAGGACCCGAGGTCAAGGCCTTCAAGCTTGGGGCCAGCGGTGTATTGGCCGCACTCACAGAACCCCCTGCTCCACTCAGGGATGGCGGCACCGAGGCTATGGTGAGCGTGGACACCGAGGTACGCCGATTTCCGGGACCGGAACCGCCAAGGTGCAGGGAGCTGGCCGAGGCAGCTGCCACTGGCGGCGCCGTGATCGTCACAATCGTCTTGGCCACCGCACTGTTCACCGCCGATGTGGAGTTGTAGTCGCCCCGCAGCTGCATCCCCGAGCTGCGGCGTCGGGGTCGATGATGATGGCGATGGAAGCTCTGGCACCTGGTGCAGGATCGCTGCGACGAGGAGGGTGTCGGCGTTCCGGAGGAGTGGTGCTGGTGGTGGGCGGACCTGGAGCCGCCGCAGTTGCTGCCACCGCTGCAGGTGCTGCAACTGCTCAGCTGACGTCACATGAGCGTGCGGTCCAGCTGGTTCACCGAGTGGTAGCCGAAGGATGTGGAGGCGGCCACCATGGCGGCAGCCACATGACACTATTTTGTAAAATAGAACAAGAAAACAAAAGAAAGGAAAGGAAAAGAAAGAGATGCACATAATACCGGAAATAATGGAAACCGGAAATTAAATTACAAGGTCAAAGAAGAGAGAAAGTCATAACAAAAGTTGGGAATAAGAAAATAGTAAATATAGGAAATGGAATAGAGAATAAATAGAAACAAAAGCAGATCAAAAATAAACAGAGACGATCGAAAGAGAATCAAAACAAAGGAGACACACACACAAAGAGGATGAGACAGAAAAAGAGGTAAAACAGAGAGGCGAGAAAAGCGTTTAATTAACATTTTGTTGTCTTATTCCGTTTCAAGTGTTTGCATACAATTTGCAGGCAGTGTTCTGTATTTGTGTGGGCGGGTGTGGGTGGTGGCTGTAAACAATTTTGCCGTTTCAACGCAGCATCAGCAGCCAACAGCAACAAAGCAACATAGTGAAACAACAACAACATCAACAACATGAACAGGAACAGCATCAGCCAGAGCAACAATAACAACAACAAGAACGGCAAATTGGGGGGCTGTGGGCGTGGGGGGCAGAGGGGCGGAAGAACAACAACAGCAATAAGAAGAAACTGTTGCGGCTTTGCTGGCAGATTTTCTCTTGAATTTCTCCCGTTCTACCCAGTCTTTTTTTCGGATGCAGTAAAAGTCAAAGCAAAATGCATGATTGAAAATAACAAAAAACAATGAGTGTAGAAAGAGAGGGGCTCCAAAAGAAAGAAAAACTAGAAAAAGAGCAACAACAAACAGCCATAACAACAACAAAGGAATGAAAAAATTGGAAACGAAAAGCGGTAGTTGAAATTCCAATTTCTGGCTTTCGAGGAATATCCTTTTTAGGATATTTTTTCCTTTTGGGCCAGGACCAAAGCAAACAATAATAACAATAACAACATTAACCAAATTTGTGAGCATGTGTAAGTGGGTGGTGGTTTTTATATTGTGAGTGTGTGCGTTTAAGGGAATTCCGAGTGCCCATGGAGAATTTTTCCATCTGGAGGAGGTCCTTGCATTTTGCAAGTGGCTGGCTTTTCTTCTATCGCCTCATAACCGGATTTCCCTCGCTCCTCCTACCACCCCCAAACCCACATCGTCTTTGGTTTGCCAATTCAATTACGGGCTTATGGACGGGCGCCTTCTTGAGCTCGTATAAAATTCTAAAATCCCCCCCACGCCCATTTGCGTAGCACTTACATTGCGTATACGCCGAGTGGTCGGCTGGTTTTCGGAGTGCGGCCGCAATTAGCTTAAATAATTGAAGAGCCAGACCGGATGGCCCGCTTAGCAGACGCCCCAGGCAATTGGGTAATTTGCAATTTTTATAGCCCTCCCCCCGGGATCCAAAAATAACCCAGGGCGTCTGGGCCAAGAGCAATATCATTTAAATTCTAGAAATATTTTTCTTGATTTAGGTTCAATAGTTCTAAATAGTTCCAAACTTTTTTTTTCAAGCCTTTTAATTGATAACCTTTTTAGAAACCTCTTTAATAATTTGTATTATTTTTATATGACCACATTATCCGAATTTTTGTTCTAGGCACAAAACTTTTATCATTACTGTGTTTTTGTGACTCATGAGACCGCCCAGGGGCTTGTCACTTACATTGCCTACCGTGCTCCGGCCAAAGGTCATTGGAACCGTCAAATTCTGAGAGGGCCTTTTCGCACACGAACTTGTTCGCGGCCACGCCCCTCTTTTGGTAATTTATTGCCTGGCACTCAATAAACCCCTCCGGGGTCGACGGACCCCGACTTGGGCCAACCTCAAAATCTTCTCGAAAAGGCTAAGCTTTTTCGGGCACCCTATCTTGGGCGGTTAAGCGGCGACCTTGCCCCGATGACTGTCACAAATGCCCTGCAAATACCACCCAGACACCCAATTTTAGCCAGGACCCTCGGCCACAGGGACATTAAAAGTTACATGGCCAAGAACACGAATTCCCACGGACTGTGGAACTCGGACTTCCGCTTCAACGGCTCTGTCACATAATTATAAACGTTAATTTCACGTTCACAGTCAATTAGGGATAATTGATGTTTGCTCAACATTTGTGGTAAATTACATTTTGATGTTCGTTCTGCCCAAGAAATGAGCCATTATCGACTCTATATATTACGGATTTCTATACATATATAAGCAGGCATAGGCATAGATGGGTATTTCCTTGATTATTGTTCCATTTAGTTTGCCTCAGTGAATTTTGGCCGGCGACGTGGAATGAAATCAGTTTGATTAATCGGTTAAACAATTTTGTTTTCGAATTCAATTTGGCTTTGTTCTCCCAAATCGTCCAAAGCGATCGACCAATAAATGATGCAATTAGCAGCGATTATAGCAGCGGAAACAGCAGCAGACTTATAAGCAATTTTGGCAGCCGCAATAAACAATTTATTTGGATGCATTCGCTTAGGTATTGATTATTGAATGTAATTTAAAGGTATCAGAATTAGTTGCCTGCCACTGGGATATTCTGCACTCTCGATTGGCTACTCGAAGGCCCCAAAGCGAAGGAGCTCCGATGCGGGTCCTGGCCTCAGGCTGGCCAGCGGCTTCCTCTGCAAACAGTCAGAATCACAAATTCCGGTTTTACAAGCTTACAAATTTATGCTAAAAAGGGGGGCTCCCAAATCGTAGGCTGTGTATGCGAATGGGCGAGCTGTATTCGAGAATTTGTGTGAGCTAGGTCGGACTAGCTGAAATTTTCAATCAAAACATCTTGGCTGGTATGCACTGAGAAAATGGTCTTTATTTCGAAAAGAATAAAATCAAGCTTCAACTTAAGGAAAAGCTTGTGTTTTGTTTAAATTATTTAATGAAATTTTGAACTTTCTTGATTGAAAGTTTATGAACCTGAATCACAAACAATTTTCTCTATGCATGTCAAAATGCTATGCAAATTGGCTGGGATGGCAGACGAGTGGAAAGTGTGTTTCAGAGTTGATGTGCCTCTGAGTGTGGGGATTCCTTTACGGCTCATTAGGAGAACTAGTGGGTGGTCACAGTTGGCCCAAATGTCAGGCCACCCACTGACTTCACTGTGCCGATTAATCACCGGCTCGGAGTGTGCATGCGAAAGTGCGGGTGTGGGTGTGGCGGCATTAAAGTTGAATGAAACTTTGGTGAAGTTAATTTTAAAGTGTCGGCCTGGGAGACTTGCCGCAGTCGCAGAAGCACTTTCATGTGTGCGTACAGGCATCTGCAACTTGCGGCTGACCACAATGTGCTTGAGGTGGCGCAAAGATGGGGCAACAGTGGCCCGGAATTGGGTGCTTTCGGTGGCTCTAAACCACACGCCTGCAATATCCTACTTTGACCAAAGCCCATTTCCATTTGTCGTACTGCTGGCAAATTGCAAATGCCGGAAGTCGCCTCATTTGTCGAGCAGAAGGCAAGGACCTGCCATAAATTAGACATTCCGCAAACAGCCTGCCAGCTGGGGAAATTGTTGCAATATGCATTTGAATGAGAAATTAATTACTTATTTATATAAATAGTTTTGCTAAATTGTTTTTACGTGATTAAGTGAATAATATGTTTTAGAATGATTAGAAATATGTGCTTAGAATGTCTAAACAGGGCGTATACGTGATATTTTTCGTCCTATTGTTACTATTCCATAGGGCTTACTTATTTCTTCCGGAACAAAGGTATAACACAAGGTAAATTTTTAAATTGAACTGCCTTTTATTTTTTAAATTGTACCTGGCCAATATGAATGTTCAAGGATAAACTCAATTTCTTTGGTCGACCCAGCCCACGCTCAGCGCAAACAGCGCTTTCAATTGGCTGTGGAAACTCTTGGCAAATAAATTGGCATGCTCTTGGGTGTAATTGATATGATGACAGACACATCGAGAAAGAAAAGCCCCAAAAATCGAATGGAACGGATACGGATACGGAAAAGGCACGAGCATAAAAATCCATCTATACCCCGGGTCCCAGTGCCCTCCTACATCCGCATCCTGGCCAGACACATATTGACTGTTGATTGCTGTAAATAACATTTTCATCAATACAATTACATGTGGTGTGTGCGTCGTGGGGTGTGCTTGTGCGCTTATCGCCGAGGCGAAAATTGAGTTGGAAATTTTTAAGTGCAAAAAATGTTTATGGTTCACTTGATAACATTTCTCAAGTATCGAGTGTGCGTGACTCCCCGTATACCGTTTCCCGCTAGGCAGCTGCCGAAAAACATGGCTCAGATGGTGGTCCCGAATGAGAAAAAACCGAAAAGAAGGTCAACAAGGCCGTCCATTTCCACAGCCAGCCAAAAACTATAAATTTAAAAATAATAAACAGAGAACTTGAAAAGAAAAACCCTTTCTTCAATCCTATTAAAAACGCGCAAAAGCCCTGCACTGAAAGAAAGCATTGACTTTGTTTTGAATAGTTTTTCTGATAATACTTGACGGCTTTAAACACTTTAATAATGACCCCATCGCAGCAGATTAAACCTGAGCCAGACTATATATTAAGCTTCTTTCATCTGCCAATACAATTTTCCTTTCTTTTCTTTGCCAGGAGCTGGTATAAAAAGATCAACAAACACTTTATGGGCGAGAGGGAGTTTGTGTTTCAGGTTTTTCTTGTTTCGCCATTGTGTACACTGGGAAAATCTTTTGTGAGGAGCGACGCCAAAAATAACAACATCAATATCAACAGGAGCAAGAACATGAGGGGCGAAATCGGAAGCGGTGACAAAAACGTTGAAAGGACACATTGTATCCTGACCGCTTATACGAGTGTGTGTGTGCTTGTGAATCCGGAGGAGACTTTGTGAAAACTTTCGTTTTTCTTTTTACTTTTTCCGTGTTACTTTGTTTTCTTTTTTCTTCCCGGCTTGTCTTCAACAACATACAAAAAAGCAACACCATCAAACAGATACAGGGCTCAGGGACTCGTTTTTTGTAGTCGTGGGTGGACATCTCTGTAAAGAGTGTGCGTGTGTAATTGTGTGTGTGCTTGTTTCGGGTACAGGTGCAACACATTCAACAGGTGCGTGAATCAGAGTTCTGTTTTCGTGTTTCCTTGCAGCAAAGAAAGCAAACTAACAAAACAAACGCCCTAGGGTGTTCCCAAAATCTGTGAACATTTTTGACGATGGCCCTAAGGGTTTTATTTTATTTTAAATGTCAAGATCAGAGTTCTTAGTAGAGTTTATAATTTTGATTTTTAGTTTTTGATACAAACATCAACTAAACAAATTTCATTGCATACCTTTAGGCGCTAATAGTATTGTTTTCAAATCGCCAGAGATTTCAGGAACACACCAGGATGAAAACGGAAATTTAAGGATGTTACACAAACAACAATGCCATGGAAAGTCAACAAACAGTTGTGAGCAAGTGAGACAGCAGCTGTCACAGACAGAGAAGGCAACAAACAGCAAACAGCACCAGTAACAGTAACAGATGCAAAACCGAGGCTCTGAGAACGGAGAAGGGGGAAGGGTGCTTGTGATAGTTCTCCCCAAGGACCTTCCCCTCCCTTTCTCCATTCATCAGAGTGTGTAAGTGACTTTTAGAAAAAATACAGCAAAAGGACACAGACAGTGGCTCAGAGACACAGACAGAGACAGAAGAGAGAGTGAGCCAGACAGGCAGACAATGAGAATACAGGACACAAGTCTCTTACCTTGCCATTGACTTACGGGACAGGGGTCGGAGGTGGGCGTGGTCGTGGACGTGGACGAGGGCGCCTTAATCATTGTCAACTAAATCTATGCTAAACTATATGTAAGTCTGCTCGCAGGAATTGTGCCGCACGTGCTGAATGCCGTGCAGCGAGCAGGTTGAGTAGCACCGCCGGGTCGCGAATCTCTGCAAAAACCAAGAACGACGCGCAAAACGCGGCCAGAATCACAATCAGCTCGATACCAGGCCAGACGGCACGATACTATATAGGTAAATGTAAAAATATATGGGTGCTTTGTGTGGGACGACACGGTAATGACATTAGGGCTCTGATGACATGAACTAAATTTAGCGTATATTGAGGCCAGGCGATCTATTTTTGAACAAGTGGGTCTTAAAGTGTCACTGGCTGATTGGAAGTTACTTGAGGTTCGAATTGAGTCCTGGTTAAATTATCCTTAAAGCTTTATACCAAGGAACATTTTCAGCACAATTATCTATTTAAGAGTAAAAATAACTTGCTCTTCCATCATCTATTACATCTTTTATTTTTGTATTAAACTTTCACATTAGCCTAAGATTGGCTTAAGATTTTCTTGTTGCTTTTATACTCAAGTCTTTATAAACCAAACTTCTTAAAGTAGTTTGTGTGGCAATTCAAGAGCCAACTTTGCAACATTGGCCGTAAAACTTGGACAAGTTCAAGTTAGACAAGTTCGACTGTATTTCCAAGCCAAACACGTGACTACAGCTCAGGGGTAATTACTTACAGCTATATTGACATGCCGTACCCGAGGGACTATAATATAGCCTGCCACCCACGGGCGCAGTGCTCTAATTTCAGGTCGAGTCCTTTTTAGGTGCAGTCAGAGTTGCCAAACATTAGAAAATGATTCATTAAAATCAGGAAGGGGTTGTGGGGTCGACAGGTTGAGTGATGCGCCGCCAGATGATTTATGCACGGATGTGTGTGGTGTGTCTGGGGGCGAGGACGAGAACGAGTCCGGGGCGGATGTCAGGAAGTTTTCATGGTTGTCTGCCATGTGTGAACGGAAGTCGGTGGGTGCTACGGGGGGATTATGGGGCACCTCGAGTGGTAAATGTCAGTTTTTTTCCTGTATGCATATTCATTAAATTTGTAAATTAATTTGGCCGTTCGTTGAGTTTCGTATTTGGAGCATACAAAAGTGGAGGCCCCTAAAAACAGACGATGCACCGACAAAACTTCAATAACTCCACCCAGACCGTGAATAAGAGAAGGAGTATCACAAATCGACGTCGGCTGAAATGGATGGTATACATCTTCAGGGGGAACGGGGCAACTCACCTGTGATTTTGACCGCATCGTGGGCTGGTATTTGCGGCGGATCTTTCGAGGACAGCACATACACAGCAGTCGCACAAAGGCCCTGGAAAGGAAGCCAGTTAAAAGGAGCAGGACAGGCGGAGGTTAAGCCAAAAGCCACAAAAACGCAGAATTAAATCAAATAGCTTGTAGTTGAGTTTAGATATATCTTGTGGTTACCCGAATGTGGCGTCCATGGAGATACTTTAAGGCTACAACTTAAAGCCACTATCTCTTGTAATTTTATTAAAATATTCCAACAAATACTATGCTCATTTTCGTGGCACATTTGACTCATTACATACCTGCGAAAGTCCCTGCTCCAGCAGGCATAGATGACAGGATTCATGCAGGAGTTTATCCAGCCCAGCCAAGTCACAATCGCCGAGACGATCTCCTCGTGCTCGATGCACTCGATGCAGAATCCGGACAGCAGGTTGACCACGAAAAAGGGCAACCAGCACACGATGAACACACCCATCACGATGCCCAGCGTCTTGGCCGCTTTCTTTTCCTTGGCGAACTTGGCCAGCTTCCGGGATAACGAGAAGTTTTTGCCCATGTGCCGGTGACGGGCCAGTCCGTTGTTGTGAAGAGCGGATAGAGGTTCATCGTCGGGTTCCTCCGGAGTGGAGGTGGTTGTGCCTCCGCCGTGATTGTGATGATGGTGGTGCGAATGGGAATGCGAGTGACTGAGGGATCCACCTCCCCCTCCTCCTCCGCCACCTCCTCCTGCCACCTGATTGGCCTGGTCGCGGGTGGTGCCGCCACGGTGGATCCGCAAGGTGAGTTGCAACTCTCCGGACGCCATCAGGACTTGTTTGGTGCCGATTTTCAGAGACCTCGTCTGGATCACCGCCGCCCTGTAGATCCGGCAATAGGTGAAGACCATGACCAGGAGCGGCAGGTAGAACGAGATCGTCGACGAGAAGACCAGGTAGCCCAGGTGCTCGGTGAAGGTGCACTTGTAGGCCGGCATTTCCCCATCCCTCGCCGCTCGCCACCAGACTATGGCCGGGAAACTGATGGCACTGGAGCAAATCCAAACGGCGGCTATCAGACCGGCGGCCCTCTTTACGGTCATCCGCATGGGGTAGCTGAAGGGATCCGTGATGGCCCAGTATCGATCCAGGGAGATCACGCACAGATTCAGTATTGAGGCTGTGCTGAAGAGCACGTCCAAGGACCTCCAGATGTCGCACCAGTCAGTGCCAAAAAACCACGTGTTTTCCAGCACCTCGTACAGGGCGGAGAAGGGCATGACCACCAGACCTACTAGACAGTCGGCCACCGCAAGGCTGGTTATGAAGTAATTGGTGGCCGTGTGCAAGTACCGCTCCCTGATGACGGCCAATATAACCAGAGAGTTGCCAAAAACGGTGGCAAACGAGAAGAGGAACAAGAAGGCCAACAGCCCCACTCGATCATTAGGCAGAGCCTCCAGGAACTCGGAGAGATCCGGTTCCGGTGTGGTGGAGGAACCCACTCCGCTCGTCGTGGGACTCAAGGTGGTGCTGCTGGCATTGAGTGCTCCCGCCCCTCCGAGTGCCAGTTCCGTACTTGTGGGCGCACCGTTGAAGTAGAAGTACACATCCTCGGATATATTGTAGCTGCCGAAAAAGGGAGGCATCTGAGTTGGGACTTGAGCCAGAATCTGGGCCTGGCTCTGATTGAAACCATCTCCGCGAAGGAGGGCCAACAGGGGGACGGCTCCTTCCGCTTCCGGCGACTCATTGTCCTCCACCATTTCTGCGGAATGCAATTCAATGCTGTGTCAGTGCAGCTGACGCGAGTCCCTGTTCCTGTTTGAGATCCTGTTCCTGTTTCAGCTCCTGTTCGTCCTGCTGCTGTTGCTTCTGCTGCAGCTGATTTTCCACAGACAGTCTGCGGCTGCCAGCCAAATTAATGAAGCGCATCTTCACGTCCTTGGCCAGGACTCGCCGCCGGGCTGCCAGGCTGTCGACGAAAAGAAAAGGATACAGATTCGGATGAGCACAATGGAATCAGGCCAAACTTGGTAGAAAGTCTTAATTTAACCCATTTCAAGCAGAGTGGCCATAAAAAATGACGTCTATAAATTTCAGTCACTTGTTTTAAATTCTGAAAGCCAGAATTCTGATGAAAAATCATGTAACTTTTGACGGGCTCGGTAGTCCCTGTTTTAATAATATTTTTCCAAATAAAATGCGTTTTAAAATAATAATCATGATTTTAATAATTTTGTGTGGCAACTTCTCTAAGCAAAGAACTTACATTTTCTTTTCAGACTCAAACTTCATAATGAAGCAGGTTAGGACCAAGTTTTGATTTTAATATTTAATCAACTTTCGGGTGATGTGATAAGACCTTTGCGTTTTTCGGCGCCAAAAACTTTTTGGCGAGACTTTGTCTCTAATGAAGCCATTGTAATTGAATCGCTCGCAGCGCCAGCTATAAATTTCATTCAATTAAAATGTTGACTCGCATCCACAGGTAATCGAGTTAAGCAAATTTCCGAGGCACAAAAGCTAAACAAACACATTAATTAGGGGATTTTTTGGGCTGCCTCGAGATCGGGCAGCGTTCACCTGCCACCAGGCAGGCCGCCGCAGCCCGAGAGGTGCACAATTAATTGGCAAGCAGACACGGCAGTTGCCACGAGCTCAGCGGCTCACTGGGGGATACTTGGTGAATCTGTGGAGGAGCTGGGTATGTGAGTGTGTACGCCACACAAATAAACAAATTAAATTACATTTCAAGTGCCAGGGATGACAGGAAGTCAAGCGTGCGACCACTAGGAACTCGAACTCGAAGACTCCAAGGACAGGAATCGGGAATGAAGACGGCGGGCAGCGGGCCGGATGACAAAGTGGAAGTTGCTGCCTTTGTCACCGGAATTTGACAGAGGAAGTCAACAACTGTGAGGCGCATTATTCAAGAGTTGTTGCTCCTGTCAGCGCAAGTTGATTGCTAAGCTCTGTGCTTAATGTAAACAGGCTGCGACTGTTTCCAGTCTGGATTGCACTGGCTACTGGCTGCTCCTTATCGTTGCGCTTCGAGGATTTCTCAGAATCCGGCCGCAATAATGCAGCAACGTCCTTGCTGCCTTGTCGTTGCCATTCACTCAAAGGTTGCATTTCGGGATTGGATTTCTTATTTGTAATTAAACAAAAGGACATTAAATTAATGTGAGTATTTGCCGGACTAAATATTCTATAAACTCTAGCTCAAGATATTTGTCAAAGCATTCCATTGCTTGTGGATGTTGTTTCTACAAAACCCTTTAAATATTTATTCTAAACAGCAATCAAAAACTTTTTAAATATACCTATATATATCTGACATTTATGTAACCAGTCAACGTCAACGGCTTTAAAATGTGGCTTCATTTACACTTTTCTCCTCCTTTCATCGGCCTTTGAATCATTTGTTTTCCGGCAATATTCTGCTTTATATAATGTTCATGTTCGTGTTCTTGGGTCTGATTATCACCTGTCAGAGCCAGGCCGGGAAGAAAGCAGCTTCTCTGCTTTCGGCCTGGTCCGTACCCAATCGAGCAGAGCTGGCGGCGCCTCGTGCCCCATTCCTTCTGCTCATTTCCGGGTCGCGTACGCGCGCTGCTTGCATGCCATAAATTCTCTTCCCGGCTGTTGTTGGCTTATCGACCCCCTCATAACCCCACACCCACTGGTGTTTCGCCACCCCGCCCCAGAGCCTAACCAAACAGAGTCCAGGGTTCTCCAGCCAAGGCTGACACGTTTATGGCTTATGTTTTCTTTAGCCACAGTGCTGAAACAGAAACATCGTCTTTTCTGCGTTTTTTGTTGAGCTGTTTAGCACAATTTCCTGGCACATTTCTCAGCCACACTGGCACTGGCTAAAAAAGCAAAAACATTTTTTTCACTTACCCGACAGCCTGATGAGGCTGTTGATGTGCAGTAAGTCAGAATGTGAGCCGACATAAAAACAGGCCAACCAAATGAGTAACAAGAAAAAATATGAACTACACTTGGAGAAAGAAATATCTTCAAATTATGAAAATATGCCAAATACCTATCACTTTAATTTCGATTTTGGGGAAGAGATTACTTCAATCTCAGTCCGGTTTTGATTTATTTGAACTCCTAAGCAATAATATCTAACTACCATGATTTCCTCTTATTTTGTGATTATTTTTCTTTGGCAATTATTTATTTAATGCAATTTTTTCTTCGTGGAAGGACGAAATTCATATGAATGCGTGGGCGGTGCCCGACAGCCTTTTGGGGTCCAGGCTTTTTTTTTGTGTCTGGGCCGAGAAATTTAATTGAGGCAACCTTTAAGGTTGCTGGCTGAACGCCAGGCCAGCCTCTATGCAAAATGCTTTCGACCAGGCCAGCAATTTGTATATGTGTGAAAAACCTTTTGACCCTTTTCAGTTAGCCGAACGTTGTGTGGTGCTTTGATGTGTGCGTGCTGGGCTGAAAAAGGGCGAAGCGCAGGGGCACCGAAATGGAAATGGTTAAGTCATTGAATGGCCTCATGAAAGTTAAGCAAAATGCTTGCAGGCTGCTTGTCTCCTCGTCGCCGGCATTTGTATGCGGGTATACTAACTTGGCCGAGATGTTTGCCAACTCGAAACTGAAAGGGAGTGATTTCCAGGAAAAGCGGTCGGCAAAATCGTGATCAGCATGCATGCGACGCCAAGCAGAGTTAGTTCGTAATTTCGACATGAAATTCATAAATGTGTCGTAGAGAGTATTTCGATTTCAAGCGAACCCATGGGTCCTTTCTCGGTGCGCCCAAAATTAATTCCGTGCACTGTAATGTGAAGCTTGCTGTACACAATTGAAATGGATTCGGGACGGAGACCCGATGCAGCATCAAATCAAGTAAAATCACAGCATTACATTTTACATTTTCAGCCAGTATGGGACCACAGATTCCGCTCTCGGCCATTTGGCATTTTTGGCAAGCGTGCCCTGTCTGCGATTGTGGGTTTGAATCTGATTCTGTGTATCGGTGTCTTTGAATGTTTCTATTTCTATGTCAGCTGCAATAACAGTCTGTGAATTTAAATGGAAGTCAAAACAACAAGAACAGCCATTCCGGCCCAACTGACATTCAATAAAGTGCTCCGATTGCTCGCCGCCGGCCATTTGTTGAATTTTTATGTGAGCCGTAATTATATGAAGCGATTTTCCATGTCGCATTGTTGCCTATTGAATTATTAAAACTTCCCAGCCAGGCGATGTGTTTATTGAAATTGCCTGCCAACTGGCACCAAACAAAAAAAAGGAAAGAAAAGCTTAGGGAAATAGGGGACTCGACTCAAGAACAGTCAAACTTCTTCGGCCAGGACTTTGCAAAATCAAATTTATCTTTAATTCTAGCTGGGGAAGAAACTTTATGACAATTGGCTTTAAGTTTTGAAGCGAGATTATTAAACAAATAAGAGTCTGTTTAAGGTTGTTTAAAGCTTGAGTTAGCATAGACTTTTTTGGAATAGAACTTTTGAAAAAAAATAACTTTTTCATTCAAAAAACTAGGCAACTAGAGGCAAACTATTATGGTTTAATGGACGCTTCACTGTATCTCCGGTGAGCTTCAACAACTGTTCCGCTAAGTAGGCAATAGAGTTTTTACGGCCCGTCGAATCACTCCCCTGATGTCAAGTCATATAGCCCCACGTGCCACGCCCCACTCCCGCCAGAGAAAGGAGGCCTAATGCCAGAATTTATTAGTGGTGCTGCCATTGTTGTTCATGTCGATAAAAAGACAGCCAAGTACCGACATGTGCATGTAGGCCTCGGATCCCCAACATCCATTAATTTCGTGCACTATCACGGAATTGGAATCGCATGGCATAGACCAGATAGAAGAACTGAGACCCAAAACCGAAAACAGTCACGGTGACATTGAACAACCTTTTCGCTCTCCTCTTTTTTTGACGGCGTTTGTATTCAAATTAACTTGAGGCGAGCAGGCGGAATATAGACTGCTATCTGGCGGTAAGTATCGGTGGCACCCACTCAGGAGCTGAGCGATAAATCGCTGCCTAAAATCTTCCAAATTGCTCCCAGAGCGTTTTCAGGGTTTTCGGCATTTTCAGGTAAGCCAAGCGAAACAAAGTGAAAGTGGCCTGACAGAGATGGTGAGGATGGCGGGGTGAAAGGTTCGAGTGGCTCCCCACTGGCGTCCAAATCTTTGACAATCTTAATGCGAATCCAAGTCAAACACACGCACTCTGGGGAGAATCGGAGATGGGCGGGGGATTTTTCTTTTCTACTAACCCGAGTGCGGCGAGGCACTAAAACGACGGTAAATACAGCGAGTTAAGGACTAAGGTCTCAGGACTCAGCCAGTCACTCAGCGAGCCAGTTGGGTTCCGATTTGGTTGGGTCCACAAATGAAATTTAATCACGCGCGTGGCAAAAACGCTCTCCATTCAAAGCGGCCGATGTTTGCTTTATTTTCGGCTTTGCAACTTGTGCTGCTCCCCTCCAACTGATTTGATAACACTCCTTCGGGTCCCCGGTTCTCAAAGTTCCCCTCCAGTTCCCGGCGGTGCCATGTCGCTGGGCTGCTTAATTATGTCACAAATATTTACACCGGTTGCGGAGTGTCATGGCACGCAAGGAATCTAGCGAAAGCAAACAGAAATCAAATGAAACAATCCTGCCTAGGGGTCGTCACCGCTTTTTTCTGCCTTTTGTTTTTTCGGTTAGACTTAGCTGGTGTGTGTTTTTTTTTATTCCTTTTGGCTTTCGTTGTTTGAGGCAATCAAGGACAAATAAGGACAGCAGTGGTGGCCGGCATGAAAGTGGATTCCACGATAATGGCTGGCATTAATTTGTGGCTCACACAGACAGAATCGACAGCTCAAAGTCTTCCCTTCACGATTGGCACCCAAAAAACGGTGAAAGCACGAAAATTGTACATATAGTATAAACAAATTGTGCACTTGAAATATTATTGTTATTTGGATGATAAATTAA